TTGCCTATCATTCATATTGGTCAAGCATCATGTACACTGCTAATTCCTCCATTACATTTAAAGATGTTTTAATGGTTTCGCATATAAAGAAGGATTTGTTATCCATTAGCAAGCTTGCTAATGATTTTTCATTTATTTTTACATTTGATGAGCATAGGTTTGTGACCAAGGACTTGAAAACCAATTGGGTAGTAGTGAAAGGGAAATAAGCGTAAGCAGACTATATGCTATTGATGGCACTCCAAACACTTTCTTTTCATATCGATTTTAGAAGGTTGACAATAACTGTTGGTGTTGTCGCCTCGGACATCCTCATCAATGGATTATCAATCATTTACACTATAGATCACTTGTTGCTTTTGATTCCAAGTTTAAGAAGTCAACAATCTGTAACAGTTGTCAATTGAGCAAGTCTTGTCGACTGCTTTTTTACCTATTGAGAAAGAATAAATCCCCCTTTTTGAAGATTCATTGTGATTAATGGGAACCTGCCCCATATCAATCTAGAGATCATTTTTGTTTTTATGCTATTGTTATTGATGATTGAACCAGTTTCGCATGGGTATTTCGTATGAGCCACAAGTAAGATCTATTTGCATGTGTTAATCATTTTTTTAAGTTTGTTCAATGCTAGTTTGAGGCCAGAATTTGTGTCTTTCAAGTGACAAGGGTGGGGACTTTGCAAACCATGACTTCAAAAACTATTTGACAATTGAGGGTGTTCATCATTAATCCGCTTGTCCAAAAACACCATAACAAAATGAAAAATTGAGCACAAACATTGTAATATTACATAATTGGGCTTGACGATGATGTTTCATGCTCACCTTCCATCGAGATTTTAGGTTGATTACTTTTCTACAACTACATACTAAATCAATCGTTTACCTTCCCCAACACTCGGAATGGAGCATCCATTTTTTCGACTCTATGGCAAGCACTGAAATTACACTTCATTATAGGTTTTTATTAGAGACAATCAACAAAATAAATTAGATCCAAAATCCCTTCCATCTATCTTTATTGTTTATAGCCAAAAACATACAGGGAACAAATGTCTCTATCTGCCTACCAGACGAGTTTATATATCTTGCCACGTTGTATTTGATAAAGCAATCCTCCCCTAATCTGAATCCAGTCGGCCTCATAGCACCACCATTATGGGTGAACTTTCCACCTTCGTAGCTTGGGAAGTATCCTCTTCAATAGTATCCTCTCCGCCGTCGACAAAAACTTCTTTGTCGGCCTTTTCCCGTCTTGCTTGTTTTGGACATCTGTCTGTTCCCTACTCAACGACGATCTTGCTCCCTCTTTAGCTTTTGAGTTTGCGATTGCCTCTTTCCCCATTGCTACTCTAGCAATAGCTCACCCTTCTTTGTCTCCAGCATAAACAGTGCCTTCTACTCCTCAAACCGATGTCTGTCACCAGCCAACTGCTTTCAATTCCCTAGACCAATCTCCTCCCCTACCTACTTCATTGTTGCAGCATCCCACGGCCACTCTGACCAGGCTTGGCATTCACAAGACCAATCCAAAATATACCAATTACCTTGTTGCTCACGCATATGTTGACATCCCTCTAGTATCTCATTCTATCATTGTTGACAAACGACATAAAGGGTGGGTTATTCCTATGGATAAAGAACTAGCCGCCCTTACTGTAAATCACACGTGGACCCTGGTTTGGCTCAATCCTAACATGAATATTGTTGATTGCAAATGGGTCTACAAGGATAAACTTCATCCGGAAGGCTCGCTTGAGCATCTCAAACCTCAGCTTGGCACAAATGGATTAATCAAGGGTATAGTGGTACTTCTTTTTTGAAACATTTTCCCCTGTAGTTAAACATGCCAGCATTTGTCTTACCCTCACTATTGTCGTTGTCAATGGCTGAGAGATTCCACAATTGGAAGTCAAAAACACATTCCTTCATGGTTCCTCTCTACTCTTGTCTACATGAAACAACCTCCTGGATATGTTAATGCCTCATTTCCCACCTAGGTGTGTAAGCTCAGTCATGCCTTATATGACCTCAAACAAGCTCCTCAGGTGTGGTTTGATCGCCTTAGTATTTTTTACTCACCCTTGTTTTTTATTGTAGCGATGCAAATCCTAGTTTGTTTAATTGCAAATCACAACATGGTACTATTGTCTTATTACGTTATATCGACGATATGATTGTTACCAGAAGTAACCCATCACAAATCAATTGGCTTATGAATTTTCTATCAAGGCTCGTGCCAATATGGGGTCCTCCAAACCCATTTCTACCCCTAATGCTCTCCAAAGGATGCAGATTGACTTTGTCTAATGATCTGTATCCTAATCCCACCCATTATCGTAGTATTATTGGCGATCTGCAATATCTCATATTCACAAGACCTAATCTTTCATACATCATAAATTTTGTTTGTCAGTTTATGCTGCTCCCACCATGGCTCATTTCTAACTTGCCAAACGTATTTTGACTATCACAATGCAACTGCACAATTTGGGTTATGAATATCAGCTTCATGAACTCTTGAGCTATATATACTTTCGGATGCAGATTGGGTCAATTGTCCTCTCAATCGTCATTCCACCACATGTTTTTGTGCTTTTTCTAGGTGGCAATTGTATTTCTTGGAGCTCTAAAAAATAGTCCACTGTCGCCCGTTCAAGTGCCAAAGCAGAGTATCACTCTATGGCCTCTCCTGTTACTGAACTTACCTGGTTGATGTTTCTTTTACGAGATCTCGATCTCTCTCTGTCTCACAGCCACCACTACTCTTTTGTGACAACATCAGTCCTCTACATATGACAATTAATTCAATCATTCATGAGTGATCAAAACACATTGAATTGGATTACCACTATATTCGCGAAAAAGTGGTGTTTTGGACACTAGAAACGTGGTTTGTTCCATCTGTCCGTCAACTGGCAGATATCACTATGTCACTGTCCAAACAATACTTTTTGGAATTACACACCAAACTTGGCCTTTGTTTGGATCCCCGACCAAGTTTGAAGGGGAATGATAGTACCAATTTAAATTTCACCACTATAGCTTAGAAGATAAATCCAAAGATCGTGATAACTCCTGATCACATTTCCTTATCATAATTTGCTTTCTGTTACTGTGTACATACCCATCAAAAGGGTTACATACATTTTGTACTTTTCTCTATAAATGTTTAAAACAATGGCTCTCTCATACTCATTGTGAGACAGATTCCTCTCAAAGTCTTTAACGCACACTAATACACCAAAAAAATATATATACTAATACACACACACACTCTCTCTCTCTAACATATCAAGCCACATACACATACATACACACATAAATACACACATACACACACTAATACACTAATTCTTAAAATAAGTGTGTGTGTGTGTATTTTGGTATATTATCGAGTATTAATGTTTTTTCGTATGTATGCATTTTTGGTTTGTTAATTTATATGCGTGTGTATGTATTTTGGTATATTAGTGTATGTGTGCATATATTTTTTGATGTATTAGTGTGTGAGAACTGTGAATATATTTGTGTTTTGGTGTATTAGGGTGTGTGTGTGTGTGTGTATGTTGGTGTGTTGGGTGTATTGGTGTGTGTATGTGTTTGCATTTTGATGGATATTGTTTTGTGTGAGTGATCACGCGCACTTTGGTGTATTAATATGTGTGTTTGTGTTTGTGTNGTGTGTTTGGTGTATTGGTGTGTGTATGTGTTTGCATTTTGATGGATATTGTTTTGTGTGAGTGATCACGCGCACTTTGGTGTATTAATATGTGTGTTTGTGTTTGTGTGTGTGTATGTGTGTATGTTTTTTTTTTTTGAAAGATATTCATCAAACATGCTTTTGTTTTTTTGCTTTTCCTTTTAAAAAAAAACAAATTTGTCATTTTTTTTCCTTGAAAAATACTTTGAAAAAACATTACTAAACAGAGCATAATTGTTTTTGCTTGCAGTTCTCTTGCCATTTCGCTTAATTTCAAGACATGGCTAACGAAAAATAAGAATATAAATTATACTCACTTCATATAATTTTTATGATGGTTTTACATAACTCAAACAGAGATCTGACTTAAATTAATTTTTTGTATAATACCAAAAAGTAAACTTTTGGCATTATAACAGTATCTCGAAACGTAATACCATCAATTCAAATTGTACGTACCATTAGGCATGGTTTCTACATTACATTTTGCATTTCTACTTGTTTGAAAATCTTTTTTAAACTTTAGAAAAATCAAGGTCCAATTCTTCCTTGTTAAATAAATCCATATCCATTTTCTTTCTTCAAATAAACTCTGATCCTGTTCTCTGCTCTAGTTGTACCAATATGATGAGTCAAATTTTTATTCCAGTAGAAGATTGTGATTAATGGAAAAATTTACTATTTATATCGGAACATAAAAGAATTATATAATACAAAACTTTACTTAGACTGATTATTGAAATTTGAAGCTGAGACTTATATTTTTATTTTTTTTTTAGCAAACAAAATACAAATGCACATCAGCTGGCCTCAGCGAAAAATATACAAGACTTTTCTTTTTGGTAAAATCTCCGAGCCTCTCCAGTTGGCTTCACGTGCACAACCCGTGATGAAAGTGGGCACAATATATATATATATATATTGATTGGCTTTTGGAATTCCATTATTTTATCAAGTGAATATAAACAATATCCCTTTCCAATGCTAAAGATTCTTTAATGGAGAATAAAGGAATGCTCACACCATCACAAGATTCTTCCAAACCCACCTACGGTTGGTTCGTGCGGCCTAAATCACACCCTAGGGGCATGTCCTTGTACCCTCATATCTTAAACAAATGGGTTCCACAATATCTAGATTCTATACTAAAGCCAGACAAGTCTATCATCACACCTTTTTAGCCCACTTCAAGAGTATTTTCCTCTGGTTTTATCTGTCCCTTGTCGCATATATATACCCCCTCCGACCTTCATCTCCGTGCACCAAACTCTTCATTCTCCTCCAACACTCATAAGAGCAAAAGCACACTCTTCCTCTAAAATCTTGGAACTTGTAAGTTTTCCTCCCAAAAACATGAAACCATCTTCGGTTTTTCGAAAATAAAATCTACTTACCTATCAAAAATCTACTTACTTAAAATCTAAAACTCATAATGTCTGGGGTTTGGGTGTTCAATAATAATGGTGGAGCCATCCGGAGAAAGGCTTTGGTGCACTTGCCTACAGGCCAAGTGGTATCATCTTACCGCTCTCTTGAGGATATCTTGAAAGGTTTGGGATGGGAGAGGTATTATGGTGGCGATCCCGACCTCTACCAATTCCACAAGCAATCTTCTATTGACTTAATCTCTCTTCCTAAGGACTTTTCCAAGTTCAATTCCGTTTACATGTACGATATTGTCGTTAAAAACCCTAATGTTTTCCATGTCAGAGATATGTAAGTATGCATCACTATCATCGTTTAATCGTCGTGTATAGGGCATGTTTAGTCCTTGTCATTTTCCATTTTCTCGTGTGATGGTTTTGGTTGCTTAAATCTGTGTGTTTCCGTTCTAGTATTAAGAAGCGATTATTTTAAGTTGAGAGATGTTCAGTTCTCACCTTATGAAGCTGAAGTGTGCAAGCCACTGTAATTCTCTGTATGTTCATTACCTGGCCATGTTTCATATAATAATGCCATGAAGTTTCAGCTACTGTAATGCTATGTAAGTCTTATTATATCCTCATACTTCCATGAAGTTTTCCGGTACTATTCGTATGAGTTTGCAGAGTTTTGTAATAATTAAGTCTATAATCCATGTGGCAATCACTTTTCGTTCCATGTCACTGTCTAGGCCCTTTCAAGTTGTCTATTTTTTTTTTTAATTTTTTTAATCCAAATAAAAATCAATACCATCAGATGAATCTACACAGTAAACAAATCCAAACTATAAACTCTTGCTTTTGCAATGAAATTACTGTGCACGAGCAATAATATTTTTAAAAACTCAATTAGTTAGATCCAAATTAAGAACTCAAATAATACTTTTAACTGTTCAGAAAAAGTGTGAATGGTCCCCCGGGAGAGAGGAAACCAGAGGATGGGACTTCACGTGAAGCGGATGATGAAGCTTTATTCAAGGGCCATTAGTACATGTCCACGTGTTGCCTGGGGTTGTCTGCTTTACTTAGTTGAGAAGGCGTGCAAGTGAAACACCATGCATTAGCAAAAAGACAAGACCCCTCGTACTTATCACTTAATCTTTTAGATCTCCTCGTATTTAAAATATTACTCCTACACTTTCTGACGTTTGTGCATTTGTAATACATAACTTCTTGTCATCAATATCTTTAAATATAACTGTTAAAATATATGATTTTGATGGTGTAAATTAATATGGATGAGCAAAAGGTTAAAATTAGGCTCAGCAATTTAGATTTGGGCTTTTATACTCGTGTGAATCGTGATAGGGAATTTTAGGGTTTAGGTGGATTTACACAATGAGAATATAGTGATTCACTAGCTTGAGAGATCGGCTAGTCCACTCTTCAATAGAGATTCTTACTCCTTTTGTTTCAATAATGGGGTATGCAATTTGCAGTCGGCTTCTCCTACAACTCGGGTTCTCTCTCTCTTTTTGGAGGTATTATACAGTATTTATAGAACAGTTCCTAGTTCTGTAGGATTTGCACCAAAATCCTTGCCATTTATCCGAGGGATCCTCCTTAATTTTAGGAGAAGATCTTGGCTGTTTGGGGGTTTTGTGCCTTGAATACGATTCTTTGTCGCCTGTAGCGTTTCTGCTAATATCTAGCTATTCTCTTATCTTCTCCGCTATTGACTCGTCTGGGAGGAGCTCTAGCTCTGATCCTCTGAGCCTTGCGTAACTTGTCTGACCTCCTTATCTGACCTCTTTGCCTGAGCTCATACTTAGAAATTTTTCTATGTATCATTAGTTGCCCCTCAGCTCTTGGTCAAGCTAGCTTGGGCAAGGGCTGAACTTATATGGAAACAGGGTGGACCCCTCTTTCAGCGACCTCGATGTATATGCAGACAAATTTTTTGACGGTTACCAATAATCACTTCTTTTCTCGTTTCTCGCACGCGTTGCCCAATATCGTTAGCTTTAAATGCTCCTGGCTCAATAGTTTCTTCCTCCTTCTTCGAATTCTCTTCGGCTTTCCTTCTTTATTTTCTCGTGATTTTGTCTTTCCCACTTTGTCGTTGTTCTTAGGGTTTTCTCCGAGAGACGATTTCCCCTAATTTGACCCGAAGGCTTAACGAGGCTTGTTTCTTCGTTCTTTGCTTTGTGAGATTACGTACATTTCCTATCTTTTACGTGCTTCTTCATTCTGGACCCCTCAGATCTGAGGTGGTTGCTACATTTTTGGGCCTTTCGATTCTGTTACTTTAGGAACCGAGGTCAATCTCTGTCTCGTATTCCCCTCTTATTAGACCCTTATTCAACTGTTAGGATTTCCCTTATTGGTAGTTGCTGTGTTGCTCCCCAGACTCTTAGAGAGTGTTTCGCAAATATTTCTCCTCTGTATCGTACCTTTAGACTCTCTTTGTCTTGCCCCACTATGCCTGCTTCTTCTGGAACCACCCCTTCCTCGGTTTCTCTTTTTGGGAACAGATCTGCTAAGGAGGATTCCGACCTTGGTGATGTGGGTGAGGAAATTGACAAGTTCCCCGGTGTCGACTCTGTTGATGCCAAGGGAAACTCTTAGGAGATCCTCCCCTCAGCTCCCCGGTGCCCCATAACTCCAACAAAGGTAAGACCAAGGTGGGTGACATTGGTAACTCTAGTAGCACTGAGGGTGCAGGGGCTACTTTTAGGGCTGCAGAGCTTGTGGGTTCCAGCGAAGCCACTCCTTCCCTCATGAAGGTTCTTAGTGCCCGTTTTGGCTTTCCTCCTGGTGTCCAATACTGGTGCCTAGATAAGTTCACTCCATACGTCTCCCAAGTCCACAAGATGGTCTGTTTTTTTGTGGCCGCCTTCGACAATGACCTTTGTTTTCCCATGCACCCCTTTATTAAGAGCGTTTTGCAGTACTTCAACGTCTGCCCTGCTTAGATCTACCTGAACTTCTGGGGTGTTCTTGTAGGCCTTTTTGTTTTCTTTAAGAAACACAAGCTTGGGGTTCCCACTGTCTTTTTGCTCATGGAGTATTTCAATGTTAAGTATACTCTTACCAATGGTTTCTTGTATATTTCTAAATGGGTATGAGCCAAAGCAATTATTTCTAATCTCCCCAGCTCTCACAAGGGCTAAAAAAAACTTTTCTTCTTCGTGGGGGGCGATCACTGGGAGTACAATCATGTAGATAACTCAGATTCTCTTCCAATCCCTCAGGTCTGGAAGGCCCCTAACAATTTGGGTAAGCCCTTCTTTAAACGAGCTCGTATTAACTTTAGGGCTTTGTATGCTGACCTCCTTTTACTTATCTTGTCCCATTTCTCAAGTATCCGGCCTAAACTCAATGCTAAAGACAAGCAGGCTTCGTTGTCCCTAGAGAGTTGTGACTCAGAGAAGTACTCCAAGCTCATTAAGCGTTGGGTTCTTGTAACACACGGGCTCANAAGTATCCGGCCTAAACTCAATGCTAAAGACAAGCAGGCTTCGTTGTCCCTAGAGAGTTGTGGCTCAGAGAAGTACTCCAAGCTCATTAAGCGTTGGGTTCTTGTAACACACGGGCTCAGTCTCCCAGAAGTAACGGTAAAAGCTCTCATTCCCCTTGTTGTTGTTAGTGCAGAGGATGCAGCTGGTAATACCATGACTTTTCCCTTTCTAGCTTCTCCTCTTCTTCTTTCATTCTACTTATATATGTTTATCTATTATGAGTTCTCAGGGTCTTCCGCGATGAAGCCATCCCCAGCAGAGCTTCAAGCTAAACTTTCTCAGCTAAAGAAGACCAAGAGTGGTGGTAAATGCAAGGCTGAGGTTGGCTTAGGTAGCGAGGCTGCTCTTCCAACCAAGATACAGAGAAAGGATGCGCCCCCTGGCTTTTCTACTTCAACTCCAATCTCAGCCACTCAACCTTTATCCATTCCGCAAACTACAGAGATTCCTCTCCCCAAAAGGTCTCCGTTCGCCCCTAGCAGGGTTCTTGAGCAAGGACAGATCTCCCAAACTTTTTTTGAGGTCGATAGGGGCTTGGGTATGATTACTCATTTGCTGCTCACCTCTAGCTCTCCAGTGACATCTGAGAAGTTTTCCCCGTCGCATCTTGTGAGCTTCAGCGTTGGGAAGGGGAAAACCCCCAAGGTGGAGAGTAACCAGGTCTCCTTTTTTGACAACATTAAGCTTGATGTTGGGGCAATTAGCTCCATTCTTCCTAAGTCAGACATTCAAAGAGCTTCCTCTATGCCTCTTGAGACCTCGATCAGTTCAGCTCTCCATGGAGTGACTGTTGTAAATGCCAATCTCTTTTTTTTTTTTATGTTATAAACTAGTGCTTACCTTTGCTTCACCTATTCTTGCCCTCAGCTAGCCCTCCATGTGAAGAGTTTGATGGAAATGATCCAATACTTAGAGGGTTCAGCCAAGGTCACAAAGGCCTTCGAGCTCAAAGTGGCTGAACTGTCCTTTAGCAACGAAGATCTTCGCATTCAGAACCAGGAGCAGGTGGAGAGACAAGCTCTTCTATGCGAGATCTGGAGGCTGGAAAGGAGAGAGCCAAAAATGAGGCGAAAAAGACCAGAGAGGAGCTCGAGCTTAAGAATGATGGTTGGGTCAGAGCTTGTGAGGAAACTCTTGAGGCCCTTCGTTCTTTCAAGAACATGAAAAAAGAGTATGACAACGTGTCCAAGGTGAATGATGTCATCCGCCAATAGCTTGAGGAGAAGAAAGCCACCATTATCCAGAAGGATGACATTATATCCTAGCTGAGGGACAATGTTGCCCAGCTGAAGGATGATGTCTCTATGAAGTGGGTCACCGGATGGCTTGCTTTTCAAGACTTCGCTGAGAAAACATATCCTGACTTGAATTTTGACTTTGACATTCCCCCTAAGGAGGAGGAAGAAGGAATTGCGACAGAGGACCAGGACAAAGCCTTGGAGTTTTCTACTATTGAGCTTCTCGAAGCAGATTCGGTTCTTGTTGCTTCTACCATTATTCCATTCTCAGCTGATCTCATTTCCAAGTTCTGGCCTTGAGTTTGCCATCATCTGGGATTGAAGTCTTTGTTTCTGGGGCCCCTAAAGCTCTTCCTTGCACGCCTGCTTTGGGGATTGCAGGGGCTTCGACTGCTGAGCTGCCAGGGGCTTCATCTACTAATCTACCAGAGATACCTGCTACTGAGCTGCTAGGCTCTTCTCCTCCTACTTCAACCACATAAACTTAGGACTCCACTTCTCCTACTCCAACTGCTACTCTGCTGAATTATATTTTTACCTTTCTTCTAAAAAAAAAACTTACTGACATAATGCTGATGTAACTGTCTATTTTTTTGAAATAAATATCCGTTGTTGTTGAGCTATTGTGCATATTTGCTTTATTTTGAGCTATGGTGCATATTTGCTTTATTTTGAGCTATGGAACATATTTTATTTATTTCATGTTCTCCCTTTCCACCCTTGCTTCAAGGGGTCATTCAAACCTTTTTGAAGCAAAAGAGTTTGGAATAGCTGCTTACGTGCCAAGCCGAGCTCTTACGAAAAGGGTACTAGATCCCCTTTTGGTGCAAACCTTCCCCAATTTTTTAAAGGGCTGTAGAAAATTGGTGACATGGCTCTTGCTGCTGCTTATGCCTATGAACTTCTTCGTCGTGGGCTTAAGGTTGTCCTCACAGTGACCTTAGGCTTGCTAGACCTGGTGTAGAGAATATGCAACTCGGTGTTGAGGTCTATATAGAAATATATCCTTAGGGGCCATGTTGCTGCATACATGGGGACTTTGATGGAAGATAAGCCTAAGAAATACTAGTGGCTCTAAGGAACTACTTTAGAAGGTATATGCAGCCATACGAGCTGACCTCAACCCATAGAAATCTGAGAAATTTCCTCAGGAGCTCTTGTGTTGAGCCGTAAGAGTGCATCACCATAAAATAAAATTCTCACTGTGATGGATCTATTCAAAAATAGCTTAAGCCTAGGGGTTGATATCAGATTCAACCCAAAGGGGATGGCTGAGCTCAAGAGACACC